ATTATGGCGCTGTTGCGCGCGCGATCAATTGCCCGCGATGATTCGGCGGAATTGTGCTTTTAACACGTTCAACCGGAAACGCGCGAGTGGGTGAATGTCACTCGAAACAGGCGAGAAATTCGAGTATCGTCAGGTCGTTGACGTTTCTTTAGAAGTGAAAAACTCGTCACTTTCATCAGGGTAACCAAAATAATTGTATAATAACTTGTAAGTTGTAAATAACCAAAGTATAATTGTATTATATTTTTTTTTTTTTACTTTGGTACGTGTGAATGAAGGGTGATTTTAATATTTTTATTTTAAATTAAATATTATAATATTAAATATTATATAAATAATATATATATAATATTTATATGATATAAATTATATAAATTAAATATTACAATAATATCATAATATTTTTATTTTAAGAGGATGAAAGGGAAACGAAAACTTTTTTTTATACCATTATTTTACGTGCTTATGTAAATAAATAGAAAATATTAAATATCATTGTTCATGTAACATATAACATACAACTTTTGCTCAAATTTTGTATATAATTTCGCGAATAATTCTTGCAAGATCGGTCATTTCGCGTGCTGAATGGATTGAAAAAAAGGACTGAATATTTTATTTAATAATCAGCCACCCGCGAGTAACTAAGCGCGATTAATTAGCCGATTTGACAGAAAAAGGGGGGACAGGGGAGATAATCGTTGACTGGAAATGATACTCTCTCAGTTAGTCAAAATTCGGGACGGCCGGAGTCGTAAATCGGCTTTAATCGGGACCTTTCTCAGATTAAGACCACCTGGACGAAATTGGCTTTAAACGAGAAGCTTACCTTTCGTTCGGATTAAGCGCACCTGCGCGACATTCGGCAAGTTGCGCCGTTTGGAAATGGGAATAAAATTCGCGCGAATACCAAAGTCCAATTTACCGGTAACCCCATTTTGTATAATATCCGACCTTCGTGCCCCTGCCTTCCCCTCGGAACCGCGAAAGCGACCGTAAACGGCCGGATATGCGAGTATTAAGATTCGAGCAAACAGCCAGCATAGTTCCTTTTCACCGCAATTAGTAGTATCATCCTATCTCTGCGCGTGAATTACGCACGAGAAATTTAATTTAATTTAATATGATTTATCTCGGGAGGAAGGGAATCACTTAACACGTTTTTCTTTCTTTCTTTCTTTCTTTCTTTTTTCGAATCGAGAGATTAACAGGTTTTCGTTGTGTTGTACCTCTTTTTTTAATAATTACTTTATATACTTTTTCGTTGGAATAACCATCGTCAAGTAGATGATTCTCGCAGGATTTTTTGAGAAAATCAATTTTGAAGGATACAAGAATGTTGGACGAATTTCTGTACCTTCAAGTAAAGTAGCAAGGTAAAATTACTTAGATTTCAGAAAATGAATGTTAATTTGTTGGATGCGAAAAAGCTTTGTACGCGTGAATTTATAAAGATACGAAGAAATTCAATTCGATTGATGTTAATTTCTCGGCAATGTTGCAGATATTAATTGATCAAATTTAAAATGTACGTACATTTAGTATAAAGTTGGCATATCTTCAGCATGTAACAAATATTAGAGATGGCTTCGTCAAATATTAAAGTTTATTCATTTAATGGATTAAATATTTCTGTAATCTCCGCGAAATTGTACTAAATATTTAAATATATTTTCAGAATCGTTAAAAATTGCATCAACATAAAAAACAATCGTTGAATGCCATGTTTAGAATGCGAATTTTGTGCATTTGAAAATTTCAGAAAGAAATAGAATCTAAAAAAGGCATTTTATATTTTACCTAGATATTTTATTTGGATATTTTGTATATTGCTTAGATATTTTATTTGGATATTTTATATTTTTATTTTATAGATATATATAGGTTTGGATATTTTCTAGATATTTTTCCAATATTGTACGCATTGAGCATATATTTTTGCAACTGCCAATCCTTCGTGAATGCATAGTCACAGTCCAAATATTTCCTATAACAAAAATAATAACAAGTGCAGACGCGAAAGACATTTTAGACGCGAGAAATTTAAAAAAAATCATAGGTCAAAAGAGAAAAAAGAAATCGCAGTATCATTATTCATCGGTTGATCGACCGAGAACCAATCGAAACTCACAGCGTACGATTTCCATCGCGCGAGTGTTTCGAACGGATTGATAAATTTTTGATAAATTTTATTCGACCAGAGTACCAAACTATCCGAACGTTTTCGAGTGTCTCGAACGACTCTGTCAGGCGCATACTCGCCGCGCGAGTAAATCGTTGCAACTTTCGTCCCGAGAGCGGCGTGTCATCCGCGTACAAAAATTGCATCGAGCACGTCCGACGTTCCCTGTTCGAGAACTGTTTTGCCGCGGAATGCCGATAAAAGCGGTTTTCAATCGGAACGCGAGCAGATTTCAATTAGAAAACGGAAACCGGTCGCGGGACGGGAACGATCTCTCGCGGCGCGCCGTCAGTAATTCACGATCGACGTTCTCCTTTTAACTGCAGAGCGCGAAATGATGCTAGAAATGATGAATTCATGGACGAAGTGGTTCACGAAATGGAACTTTCTGCTGTAGATTAAATATAAATAATTATTCATTTAATATTAATTTTAATTTAATATTAAATATAAACAATATTCGTTTACACAACTGCTGGCGATTACAACAGTAGATAATTAAACAAGGTAATAAACACAGATTAACAACTGATACACATGGTCACGACTCGGATGAACAACTTTTTTAACAACTCAATCAATTCTTTTTCACAACTCGAATCGACTCTGTTCTCTCCTCCTCGATTGAAAAAAAAAAAAGAAAAACGCCTTACACCAATGGCGCATTTGTCACGCATTTCTTCACTACGCTACAAGCCATCTCTTACAACTAAAATAATAATTCAGACCTACGATACTGCAATATTACAGCAAACGCTTCCCTGAAATTTGCGATTCTTAAATTTTCCATGAAATTACAGAGAAATTATTTTTGGCAATGAATTGGAAAATAAAATGGACAAAATGTATGTCCATTTGATTGCCTGCTCCCTACTGTTGTAATTAAATTCGATTGTGACTTTTGTACTTTCGTACATACGATATAATCATTACGTTTGTCGAGTAAAATACGATTTACGATCGACGTTCTTCTTGAACTATGAAATAGGGAAATTCAGCGATGAATTTATCGACGAACGTTTACTTCTGACGACAATGTATGTATGTGCATTCATTGTCAATTCAGTTGGAAAATAAATAACAAGACAGGATATTGGCTTCGGATATTGGGCATTAAATAAAAATTGATGACTGACGTTCCTTTCACAACTGTGTACCAAAGTACGAAACTCAGCGATGAAGTTACCGACATACAATGTAATAATAATAACAAGAGAAAGAGGAAATTTTATTGACAACAGGTTTGATATTTAACGCGGAAATTTAAAGAGGAAAATTTTACAAAAGAGAATACAATACACAAATACAAAAAAAAAAATTAATTACAAGGATTTGATTATGAGAATCGATTCGGTGCTGATCACAGAAAAAAAAAAACGGTTTGGTTAAAAAAGTTAAGGTTAAAAGTATCTTCCTAGTATAAAAATTCATACGACTGATATTTGTGTTGCGTGATATTTTTCGACTTACTTGGAATATGTTGGATGTTCTGACGAGTCCAATATACAAAATTTCACGTGCACTCATTCAGTAATATAAGTTAGAGAATAAATAACAAAATAGAATATACTGTACGATCGTTTATATCGTACTGTTGTAATTAAATTCATTTATACGAAATAAAATTTTCATAGGAGCAAGAATGTCGTGCAGAATGTGTGATGTGAAATCAGTGGATCCTTTGACCTTTGCATTAAGCGTGGCATGCATTTCATTAAATTCTACTACACGAGGTGTGATATAACGTTCAAATGAAAGAAAAACAATCAGAAGCCAAGTTTATTACGTTCATAAACACATTCCTGCCTTTGAATCTATCGTCGTTATATATATTTATATATTATATATATATACTATTGAAGAGGAACTTGTCATCGAGAAATTACAATTATTAAAATAGGTCAATTATTGAATAGGTGAATTGAGTTTTAACTTTGATTTGAATCAAAGTCTGAACGAATTTGAAAATAAATTTTTAAATAGAAAAGAATCGTGATAAAAAGATAATAACCTAATTGTTAATGTTTTATTAAAAAATATATTTGCTTTGTAAGATCGAGTGACAGTTGTTTGTGAACCGTTCAAGTTAGGATAGATTATTGGACAACTTCTTACTTTAAAAAACAGGGAAAAAATGATGATGCAGTGAACGTTCTTTTTTAAATTTAGTTTGGAATTTACATCACCTTGGGTAGTAATTTATTTTTTGAGAAATTCACGTTGTTTTGTAACACGTAAATTTATATTGTTCTATATTATTATGGAAATTATATTATTATATAATTTAAAAAAATTTATACTATCACATGTCATTTTAGAAATTTATATTATTATCATTTATATTACATTCACGTCATTGTCTGTGTAATATAAATTTAGAGTGACATTAATCCTTCGTCATACAACATGAAGTCACGGTCACAGTATGAATTACAGTTTCGATTTATATCTCACTGTAGATCGATAATTTTTCGATGCTTTACATCTAACGTAGACGTTACAATTACAATTGCAACAATGCTCAAGGAATCGCCTAAGATAATCGTGAAGCAACGTAGTTAATCGTCTATCCTTGCAACGAAATTGAAAACTCGTTAAAAAGTCGAGGTCATCAGTCGCGTCTATCCTTGCAACTCACTCAAGAAGTCATCGACGATGACTACTCTTTCGTAAATAATTATCCGGAAATAATAATCCCAAGCAGCGAGCTTATCGTCTAAATATTACGTTTAATTAAAAAAAACCAGCGAGAACTCTGCCCGTCTGGTAATATATCTCGCTACAATACTTGAAGTAAACCAGTTTGAAACGTCGTTCGTAACGACACGAGCTCGAAACGATCGAACTGTCCGTACCCTCGTTTGTCGTTGCTCGAACGTGAATGGCAAAAAGTAGAAATTAGTATAGCGAGCCTAGTGGGGGCACTTCTCCGGGTCCGGTTCGTTATGCGAGTAATTGCCGTGAAACCGGTCGTCGCGAACTCGGAAAAATCGATGCCTCTTTCTTATCACGTGCCTCGTACTCGTCGCACAGCCTGTCTACGCGTTACCAATCGTCATGCAAACTCGCGTCTAATAAATTAAGAAGCGAGATAGCTGCTCGAGGGATCAGAGCCACTCGTCTTTCGAAAAGATTTCTCGCGCGAATCGTTCCGCCACAGATTAGACATCCGGACGGCTTGTAAGAAGATGACTGTCGTCCTTGTTACGTTCTACGTTTCTAGATCGAGAAATGTTCATTTGAAAAACGAAAGTGAGAAACGTGGTAACGAGCGCTGCTCGTTTCGTACTTTTCGTAGTTTTCGTTCATGTTTTTCATTCTTATAAAAATGTTTCAGTTAATTAGTAGATACAGAGAAGCGAAAGGCTTTATAACAAGTACTCTTTTTTGTGTGTGTGTGTGTGTGTGTGTGTGTATTTTTATGCGCTGTATTCGCAAATTTCTAGAAATAATAACATAAAATCCGCAGTTTAGTAATTTTAATAATAGGCTAACGATTATCATAATTTTCTTATTTTTAATGCAAGAAATGTAATTCGTCACCTATTGAACAAATGATCCCACGATGAAGTTTTATCTAAAGCAAATTTCTAAAAAAAAGAAAAAAAAGAGAAAAAGCTAGTGATTGACGGATTGATAAATCGGTGATTGACGTGTAATTGGAACTTCATTCGGTTAAATTCAGGAAATATTACACGAATATCAACGAAATTGTTGACGACGGAATTGAAAAGTATAGAACGGAGATATAAAATTGAAAAATGTGGAAATAAAATTGAATTGGTTTAGGATGAAATTGGATTAGTTTTAAATAAAATTAAATTAGTTTTAGAAAGCACGAAAATAAGTATTGTTACAAATACAAAAAAAAAAAAGAGAGAAATTATGAAGGGAATAAAAGTACATACGGAAAGATTTTGAATTATAAATTACAAACAGATAAACCACCCAAGGTAACAAGATTTGAATGATGTGAGAAGCTATAATATTTCGAACATGTTGACGTTGATTCTGTGATTATCATAAATTATAGATACAATAGAATGTTCAGCCCGTTGACATATATGTCAATTTCTAGTGCAAGTCTGTATTTATGTACCAGTGTTTACAACAACGGATAACAGTAATTCACAGTGTGTACCGAATGACCAAATATTAATGGGAGTTGTGCTCTCTATAACGCGTGAAATGAATCGAGGCTGTCCTGTATCTCTATTTCATCGAAGAAAAATGAAGATCATTCTCTTTGACTCGTCTTGGCTCGTTTTCTTGACAAATATCTGAAAGAAACTGCTTTATACATTTCTCACAAAACTAAATGACATTACATATCTGTGGCTGTATGTAATTTACAATTTTCTAATTTTTTCATAATCTCTTTTATTTCATACAGCCGTATAACATTTCTAATGTTATATATTATATCTATATAATGTAATCACGACAGTGTTCACTGCGATATTCATAAACTTCCAAAGTGGGCATAATATATGCAGGATACCTAATTTTGCTTCAAATCATTTGTCATCGTTTCTAGCAAAAATCGTGATATTAATCTTTTGTAATTACACGTTTGACTTCGTAACTCAAACGATATTCTCAAGAAATTTTCCAAGGTAATATCTCGACAATTGCCAATTTTATTAATCCTGTTCTATTGAAATTTTATTAAAGAAAAAAATTAATTCTTACCTCGTACGATACAATTTTTCTTTGGAATATCCCTCTTACGACCAATGGATTTGAAGTGATTTATGGTGTTAATATCTTAGATGAGTCACCGTATTTATGTTCGAGAGAAGAAGGACGATTTGTTAGAAATCACGGTGTTCGAAAAATTGAATTTGCCTGTATTTGACTAGTCGTTCGCCGAAAGAACGATACCGACGAAGAAACCCGAGTCAACGTTCACCGGACACGGTAAACTCTTCAGGATTTCTACAGGAAAGTCCGGTCATCCCATCGCGGTGATCCTTGAATACATCGTCTTTCCATCCGGCCACGAATGTCCTTGACTAGTCGAAGCTTTCGAAAGGGTTCTCGAAAGCCACGCGCTTCAAGATATCGAACAGTCGAGATTCGTCCCTTCGACACGATGTGTCCCTCCTTCGGGGCCGTGTTCTCATCTTACAGATTTCTCTTCCTCCATCGACCTCACTCCTGGATCGTTCGTCGCATTTTTTCAAAAATCATATCTCGCATCTTCAAAGGATTCAATTTCCTATTTTAAATAGATTCGTGAAAACACGCACGAAGGAATTTGTAACTTGTAGAACTTTTAATTTGCAATTTGAATCATTTCTAAACTCATTCCAAGTAAATAGGTATGAATGATGTCGGTGCTATTTCAATAGTAGCAAAACTTACTACTACACTCTCGTTTGAAAGTCTTTGGATAAATGTCGTCACGTTCATCAATTCGAAAGAAATCGAACGATGATCTACCTCAGATTCAATCGTAAAAAACGAACGACGACAGCCCACTTTTCCTGCAGTCGACCGAACCGAGTCGAGAAACATCGGTTTTGATTTCGATTTTGCGTGTTCCTCGTGACCAGCGATAATAATCGTTGCACACAACAGGTGGCAGGAGCGATTATAATTTTTCAAACTTGGCCGCACGGCGCACGGTGTTCCGAACGTCGTACCCTCGAAGCCGGATACCTCGATAGCTCGCTAGTAATCCCCGGGAATATTCCGATCGAACAGGTAATCCGGCGACGTATCGGCTTTTTTTTCGTTCGAACGCAAAAAATCCTTGCATGGTTTTAACGCGAAAAAACGCTCTTGTCGGGGACGTGTTCCAGACGAGTCCATTGGTTCACTTTTTTCCTCTCTCTCTCTCGAATGTGGAACCTTAGAATCTAGAATTTGGAACTTTAGAATCTAAAATCTAGCGGTTTGGAATCTAGAACTTAAAACCTTGGAATCTAGAATCTGGTAGCTTAGAATCTGGAATTTGAAATCTTAGAATCTAGAATCTAAAATCCAGAATCTCTTTCCCTTTTCTTTAGGAAGAACTAGAAGGTAATTGTTAGGTATTATGAGTAATATAATTATTAGGTAATTAGGTAAAATCTAGAATTTGGAACTTTAGAATCTAAAATCTAGAACTTGGAATCTTGAAATCTAGAATCTGGTAGCTTAGAATCTGGAATTTGAAATCTTAGAATCTAAAATCCAGAATCTCTTTCCCTTTTCTCTAGGAAGAACTAGAAGGTAATTGTTAGGTATTATGAGTAATATAATTATTAGGTAATTAGGTAAAATCTAGCAGTTTAAAATCTGGAATTTGAAACCTTAGGATCTATAATCTAGCAGTTTAGAATCTAGAATTTGAAACCTTGGAATCTAGAATCTGGTAATTTTGAGTAATATAATTATTAGGTAATTAGGTAAAATCTAGCAGTTTAGGTAAAATCTAGAATTTGGAACTTTAGAATCCAAAATCTAGCGGTTTGGAATCTAGAACTTGGAATCTTGGAATCTAGAATCTGGTAGCTTAGAATCTGGAATTTGAAATCTTAGAATCTAGAATCTAAAATCCAGAATCTCTTTCCCTTTTCTCTAGGAAGAACTAGAAAGTAATTGTTAGGTATTATGAGTAATATAATTATTAGGTAATTAGATAAAATCTAGCAGTTTAAAATCTGGAATTTGAAACCTTAGGATCTATAATCTAGCAGTTTAGAATCTAGAATTTGAAACCTTGGAATCTAGAATCTGGTAATTTTGAGTAATATAATTATTAGGTAATTAGGTAAAATCTAGCAGTTTAGGTAAAATCTAGAATTTGGAACTTTAGAATCCAAAATCTAGCGGTTTGGAATCTAGAACTTGGAATCTTGGAATCTAGAATCTGGTAGCTTAGAATCTGGAATTTGAAATCTTAGAATCTAGAATCTAAAATCCAGAATCTCTTTCC